AACTACTATATGAAGTACTCTACATTTTATAATCTTTCCTGAAGTTATTTTAGATGTATGTTATTCAAATCATAATTTTTGATATTGATATAAAAAATGATGAGTGAATAATCATTCTATTGATGTTGAATGCAGTTATTTTTATTGGTACTATTATATGCATTAGTGATTTCTCTTTTTTTTCTGCGATTATGTGAAGTCATTTTCATATTAATCTAATAAGATATGATTTTTCAGTTTCTACAGTTCCTATTATCATTATCCTTAACAGTTTATCTTGTTTACCTGAAAGAGTATTGTTGTAATATTTTTCAATTCTCTTGAATATTTTTTCTTGCTTTTCATTTAAATTATTATATTCAATCTCATTATCCTTTTCTATGCTTTATAATTTTTATTACCAGCCGCTTGATGCACAAATTCCTTCATGTTTACTAGATCTTTATTCAAATATCATTATTAGATATCATTGATCTAATTGTAATTCTGATCTATATCTTATATACCTATATTAGTATCAGTTTATATATGCATATTTAAACTCATTTTCACTAAATACATCTAGCTGTAATGGTATTTCTATTCTTCTTTATCTTCCATTTCATCAAAACTTTTTTTATAATTTAATTTTAATTCTTCTTCAAATTCTTGTCCCAGCAAATCATTGATAGAATTGATTATATCAATATGTTATTTATATATATTTGGCTATAGTATTTCACTATTAAATTGATTTATATCTTGATGTAAAATGTGAAGTAGAATCTTGATTCAGCAGAAATCTTCCTATTAATCTTTATTATATAATTCTGATAGTCATGAATATATTCTAACTATGTTTTCTTTCTTACATTTTCACCATTTCTCCTTCACATATTTATTAGATTTATCATTATGTTCTATCTATTTAAATAATATAACCATATGTTAAGAAGTAAATAGCATGTTTCTTATGCAAATATGTCCTTCTCTGTAATACTATTTAACAAAAGTTTTTGAACTGAGCTAAGTGAACTTTCATCTGGATTATTTTTGTTTAGAATCTGTTTGAATACTTTTGCGAACACTATTAACTTAGGCTCTGCTTTATTTATATATTTAAAAATATATGTAAGATTACAGATATACTGAGAACTAGTATTTTAGGTAAAACTAGTTTTGCCAAATTGATCTGCAAAAATCTTTTCATATTTGGGTTTTCAGAGGTTTAAAATAGTTTTAGATCATAGAATAATTCTCTAGGTAAAATGTTTCAGAAATTAAAAAATAGTTTTGCCTGAAATACTATTAAGAATAGGTTTAATATCAATATTCACTCTCTATTTTTGCAATTGTAATCTATTGTGCAGGTTGATGTATGAGTCGTTTCTTAATGTTACTAATTCAGGTTGTCTATGATTATTTTCGTATAATAATGAATAGTCATTTATCTCCTTTGAATACCTGAATCTATATATTAATTTTCTATATTTCGTACATATATAATATGAAGTACTACATATTATGTATTTTTGTAATTTGTTAATTGGCTCAACATAATTCTAGAGATCATAATTTATTTCATCTATTTCTTTTTGACAGGAATGTTATTTAGAAATTAGCGTGCTAATATTTAGATTAATTATTGTTACTATTAAATCTAAATATTATATTATTTTATTCATTTTTTCTTCATTTTCTTTTATTGCATTTTATTTAATTAAGCATATTTTATTTCTTACCAATTCTACGCTATTTCTATATTGCTATTCATAACTATACTAATAATCTTCAAGATTCTATTATTTTATTAGCACATTGTTAAAGAAAGTACTGAATCTTTTTTCAAAAAAACTATGCTACTATATGCAAGTTCTCAAATGTTTTTTATCGCTATTTACTCGATTCTACTTTATTTCTATTATGATCATTTATTTCTATCATTGTATATAATTTTGACCAATAAAAGTCAATTATGCTAAATATGAAAAATATAAGACCTTGATGACCTATTTGCTTTATGAAATCTATTAATTCTTGACTTTTAGCCATCTAAAACTATCACGTTTTATACAGTTCTTCTCTATATCTCATAATTCTATCCGCTATCTTATCATCTCCATTTTCTATCATTTCCTTTATTTCTAAAACATCTATTTATTTATCACTTAGGTTTTGTTTGACATATATTTATTCTTTTTGTAGCATTTTCTATCTTATATATGAGTTTAATGTGAAATACTGCCATTTTGAATATCTTGCAAATCTTCTGTCTTTATATCATATTATGTGTTTAAAGTACTCAGCTAGTTTTATTTCTCTTGGTTATAGTGTTCAAAGATCTACTTTACCATGTGAGTATAGTATTAGAAATATTTTTATTATGTAATCAGATGTTTGAAATTCGTTAATTAGCATTCCTTTGATCTCTGATCATAATAATGTTTAATTATTGCTTTGCATTCATTTAAGAGTCTCATTTATGGCTTTTTCTTTTCATTGTGTTAGTGAAAATAATAGTACAAAGGTTTTTGATACTTCTTCATTATTACTTTTATTATTAGTTATATTATCATCTTAGGTTGATCTTTTTCATTATCGCTTTCATTATCAGTTGTATCATCATCTTCAGGTTGATCTTCCTAGATCTGTAAAAGCTTGTTAAAGATGGATTCATTTTCAGGTAAGAATTTGAGAACTTCATTATCTATTATGATATTGTAGTAGTATAGGTTATTGTTTTTTTAACTATATTAATACTCTATACATATTTCTTTTTTGTATAGTAAAATCTCTAAAACCTTCTATATTATTTGTCGATTGTTATCATACTATAAGAACATCTAGTAATGATGGATTCTGTAAAAGTTTATTCATAAAGTCTCTTATGTTCTGAAGAAAATTAATTATATTTCCTTTATATCCTATTTGACCTTCTTATAATTAATATACCGTTATTACTATACATATTTACAAAATAAGCATTTCTTCTATTTTGCTAAGTCCTTTCAGTTCATCAGAAACATTGCCTAGATCTATATTATTTTTTATTGAAAACTTCTTAGGAATTTTGCTTTTTTTAGAATAAATTTTACATGTATCCTTATTCATTGTCATTATAAGTATTTTTTTGTAATATTTTTTGCAGAATTTATACCTGATACTATTCATTTTTTTACAAAAATCCTGTAATATATGAATTTCTTTCTCATTGATCATGATAGCTGATTGTTATCTTATGTGATTATAAGCTTCCTTTATCATGTTTTATTCACTACTCTTTTGACCTTCATTTTTATTTGTTTCTTAATATATTTCTTAACATGTTTATTTTCGTGCAGTTCTTTTATATTTATTTTCTTAAATTTTTTAATTTTCACATTTATTGATAGTTTTCATCATATTTTTTTTTTTCTACTTTTGCTAGCTCTTTTTAGATACGCCTTTTGTTGTTCTTCTAATTTTTTTACCCTTTTTTACTATTTTTTTCACATTTTTGTATAAGTCATTTTATCTGCTATTTAACTGTCTCTTAATTTTTTTAGTTTACTTTCAAATAGTTTCTGAATTAGTAGAATTGGTTATTTTATATCTAATATATTTGTACTAAATTAGTGTATTTTATAGATAACTTTAATTCTGTTCCTAAAACAATTTTTCACATTTAATTAGTCTTTATTAACAAATTTATTTGTATCTAATGATTGTATTAAATTATCTTTATTTGTGACTTTGACATTCAAATACAATTATTTTATTATTCTTTATTAATTAATTAATGTAAATTTGTTCTATACATATGGAATTATAATTAAACTCTATTAAAGAATCAATCTTAATGAAATTAAACTTACGCCTTAATGTCTTTAGCATATACTAATTTGCATTATTATATAATATGTCTAACAAATAATATTTACGTAATATTTCTTAACAGATAATATGATTTTTATTTTAAATTATTTATCCCTTAATATTATGTAATACATCTATATATCGCTTACTTCATATAATGAGCTTTAGACTTTGTAATAGTTTCTGTTTTTCTAGTATAGTTAGAATATCATACCTAATTCTTTACTTGAAATAGTGTTATCTAAAATAAGTAAGCAACTTACTGAAAATTAACCTCTTTTTAAATATTAAATCAATTTAAATATTAGTAGCATTATTTGATAATGAATTCTTTGTAAACTGAAAATTTTAAATAATATAAAATTCTTGTGAATATATTAAATGAGTTGAATATTTGCTTTCTAAAAACTTTTATTATACTATTATCTAAATTTGTAAGATATTGTCATGAATTTAATATTTTTAAATATTAAATTAATAAATTTATTAGAATTCTCAAATTTAATCATTATTACATTTAATGAATAATTATATTTTTGGTAATTTGTTAATAATCATAAAACTTTTAAATTTTTTTGATTTTAAACATAAAGCATTAATAATAAATAGATAACCAATCTTTTTCATAAAAGTATCTTAAGTTAAAATGAATTTATAAATAAAATTGTAAAAATAATAATATATAATAATGAATAAAAATGTATTATAACTAGTTATAACTAATGATAAATAAGCATCATGGGATTGTAACTAATTGTAATATTAATAAAATTAAGTTATAATTAGTTGCAATTGGTAATAAATAAGAATTAAATAATTACAACTAGTTGCAGTATCATCTTTAATGTGAATGATTTCTTTTATTATAAACTATACAAACTTTAATAATTTAAAAATTTTGTTACTTATCTTATGTATTTATAAAAACTATGCAACCTTTTTATAATTTAAATTTTTTTCTGAATATAATAATAATGCTTACCTTTACCTAATAAAAATATAAATTATTGGAGTATAAGGAATGGAAAAACAAAAGGCACAAGTCAGTTTAATAATATATGTCAATCAAACAAATAAATAAACGAAATGGAATGAATGGAAAATAATTTTTGTATATTTTTTACGCAATTTGTTCATTACCTTTTTCTTCAATAAATCCAGCTAATTTATTCTGCAACTTTATTATTTGGTCCTCCAACTTCATCTTTATCGTCTCCAACTTTTCTTTTTCCTTGTACAATCTGTTCATTCGTCCTTCCAACTCTGTCTTCTTTGCTTCACTCAAGTTCCCCTCAATCAACGCTATCTCCCACTCCTCCAACTTCTTCCCCTTATACTTTCCTTTTTTCCACTGCTTCAGCTCTTCGATTGCCTCATCTAATCTATTATTTGCTCGGTTTAATTCTTGTTCTATTTTTTCGTATGTTGCCATTCTTTAGAATTAAAAAAAAATTTTTTTTATTGATTTAGATAGATCGTTACTGTGCATAATTTCGACCAATGATACAACAGTGGGCACATGATTTGGTTATTTTATTTAATTCAACCAACGTACTTTATTAAATTTTATTTTATTTTTTTTAAAATTTGTGATTATTATTTAATTAATTTTTACAATTTAATACCTTGATAATTTTGAAAGCTTAAAGTTGGAATTTTTTTTTTTTTTTTACAATAAAAGCTTGTTTCAACGTATTTGACTTTTTTTTTTTTTTTAAAAAAAAAAAAGGGAAAGAAAAAGATAAAACGGAACAGTTTACTCTATATATACTTCTATAGCATAATACATAATGTTCGTGTTTTACGCTTTACATTACGAATGATTCGGTGGATAATTTTAAACGATACTCGCGAATCGCTTTAAGTAGTATTATTCTCTTAGGTAGATTCTACTTCTTTTTTAGTTTATTTTTCTCATCAGATTTTGTCATCGCTTCTTCCTCGATCTTTGAATCGCATTTTTCGGGCATTATTTCCTTGTCTTGTTCAGTCTCTTCTCGTTCAAGTTTTGTCACATTATTATTTTCAGAATCTACTCGCTTGACTCTATCAGTATCTTCTTTATCTTTGAATTTTTTGATCTCATTCTCTTTGATCCGTTCCATTTCTTGTTCAAGGAATTTATGTACTTCGATATCCTCCCTGACTTGATCACATTTGTCGATTTCAACATCATTATTAACGCCATTACAATCAACGATAGCCCTACCATTACCTCTGAAATTGGTAGTTCTGTTATTATTACCTTGATTGAAACTATTACGACGGCTCTTATTAGCGTATTTACTCCCTTTCAAATAATTATTATCTTGACTCGAATTTGAACCTAATCTACTCATGATATTCTGTCTTCTGCCAAACTTTGTGTTTGAACCTGATTTTTTCGTGGGACACAATCGTGCAGGATGCAAGCCACCGCATTTATCAACGATGCAGACATGAGATCGTTTGCAATAAGGATAATGACATCTTTCAAAATTATATTTGTTGCATATTTCTTTGCCTCTTTCATCGTAAGCGATTTGATCCCAACGATCCTTCTTAAGACTAATAAAACCTGTTCGGTGTTCAACAATAGGATAGAAATATCGATTCTCCGTTTCTGGAGCAGACATTAACAATGTCAATTGTCGATTATCACATAATTTCATCCTTCTTTCGTGGTCATATTTAAAAACAACCTCACAAGGATACTTATCACTCTTTTCAACAATATGACGTTCGTAAGTATCAAGTTCTTCACGTCGGTGAGGATACAATGTTAAAACTGCTTCGGTATAAATGGTGAAGGCTTTCAACCATTGCAATATATTTCGAATGTTGACAAACAACTCCAAATTTACAAATTGGTTTAAAGCAATTGTTCTCCACTGTTGTAAATCAAGTTGCGGCTGAAGATCCAATTTTTCTAATTCTTTTAGAGCAGTTCCTTCATTATCAATCCACCAAAGGCGGATTGTTTCGGTAAGACGTGCCGTAGCATCAGGGATTTCTTCGCATGATGGAAGGCAACGAGATAATGGATACTCAATAGCGGGTCGGGGAGGATAACGACGATTATTCCTTTCTTTGATATCTTGTCGATTTAATTTAGGATCAACATGATCTCGATCTTCTCGCCGGCCTTGCTCTTTATAATGATTGTCTCGCCAACTTTGTTCATGATAACTGTCTTGCCAATTGGATTCCTTATAAAAATTTTGATTTCTATGACACACCTCTCTATTATTTAGAGGATAACTACCTTCGCTCCAATTTTGAGAGTAATCTTTGTGATTATTTTCTTCAATGAACTCATTTGAATGAAAGGACCTTATATCTTGCCGAACTTCCGGTCTAATCCGAGTAGACGCGGCATTATTTAATGGGTCTAACAAATTCATTGATTGCCAATAAGCAGCATAATTTGCTGCTGCTGTCGCCACGTTTTGATTTATCATGGTCCCATTCGATAAAAGTATTGTACCAGTTGTGGGTTGATTAGGGGTTATAAATATTTCTTGGTTGATGTTTTGTTGCGGAGGTAAAGATAATTGTGTTAAAGAATTAATTTGTGAAGGTAATAAATTTTGGTTTAAAGACATATTTGTCGCAACCGGAAATGTATTAGCAGTTTGTGAAGCCGGCAGAAAACTTTGGTTAATAATTCCTTGGTTTAAACGTGAAATATCAACGCCAGCAGCTGATAATAGAACTTGATTGGAATTTAATTGAGAATTGGACATTTTTATTTTTTTCCCTTTAAGAAAATATCGTGCAGAATTGTTTATTAATTCCTTTAACAAATATATCGAAAATATAAAAAACAAAAAATGTAAAAAAAAAAAAAAATTGTAAACAAATCCGCAAAAAAGTGGTACGAACTTATTTTCCAGGAGAATAATTTAAAATAATTTAGATGCTGTTGGAAAAAAAAGTCTGATTAGAAAAAATTAGACTAACTAAATAATCATTAGATTAGTAATCAAATAAGTTTATTTTCTGGTAAACTCACACGTGAATTATGTCAAACAAATACGTAGTTCTCTAAATTTCGCTTGTGCACAAGAAGATCCCTAAATGACGTAAACATGAAAAACAATTTCGACTAGTTAAATAACTAGTTTAAACCCATGTGACTTGACACGTGGAAAACATGTCACGTGAAATTTAAGCAATCCAACAGATCAATATAAATTGTAAAATGCTGACCTATTTTACGCGTCTTTCTTGAATTCTTGCCTATCTTGAAATTTTCAATTTTAAAAAAAATTTTTTTATTTTTACGAGTTTCTTTTAAGATATTGACTCATTAACCACAAATACTCAGGATGTCAACTTCATCATCATCGTCCGTTGTAACGAGTTATATTTCCGACTTGTCGTCCATGACAGATCCAACGGATTTTCCGCAACAATCTTTACGACTACTCGATACAATTTCTAGATGTCCAATATGCAAAGAATTTTTTAATACACCAAAGATAGGAGATTGTGGACATACTTATTGCTCTTTTTGTATATTGAGATCTTTGGCTATTGAACGAAATTGCGCGGTTTGTAAGAAAATTTTATCGGATCATCAATTGCTCAAATGTGTAACTACTGAGAAAATTGTTGATAGCTGGAAGAATATCAGGTACACCCTTTTTTGAATTATTAGGATTTGACTTATTGCGTGTAACGTTATATATCTTCATTATATATAATGAAATTTTAACCTTCAAAGGAGAACAATATTAAAAGGAGCAAATGAAGAATTTCGTAAGAATAAAATTCGAGATTACATTCGTAGGTCTGACAACACAACTTTATCTCGTACTTATTCAAATTTGAAAAGTAGTTCAAATGGAAAGAAGAATACGAAAAAATTAGGTTATACATACCTATACACTCCAGAATCGTCGCCTTCATCTTTACCTTCTTTACCATCTGATATTAATGAAAACCAACTAGAAACTAGTTATATGAAAATTTGTATTCAACAATGAAACAAATAATGTAGGAAGGTTTCTTTAGATTTTTGTTGTAATATTTTGGTGTAAATATTGTTTAACACTTGACAATCTCGCTCTAAAAAAAATAAAAAAAAAAAAATAAATGTTTTTTTTTTCGTATATTTTAGAAAGAGACTGTTCTCTTTTATCAATTTAATCAATAATAAATCTAACATGATTTCATGTGTCTGTTGACAACAATGACTATCAAGATAAACTTTTAATTATCCCCAAAACCTGTTGAAAACTTGATAAACCTGATATATATACAATATCTAATAAAAAATTTTTTTCATTGGCAAAATTCAAAATACTAATGAAAAATGCCTTCCTTTTCCGAAAAGTTTGTTCAAGTATTTCAAGGTTTGTAAAATTGTAAGGATGAAAAATAATTTTTAGGTTTATATTAATCAAACCTTTTGTTTTACCTCGGATGATAGAGCATGATTTATCGATTTTACTTGCTTTCTTTTCTGTTGTCGGAGCATTCGTTATCATAGCGAAAGCACTTAGTTTCTGGAAATTACTGTTTGACGTTTATCTTCGACCTGGAAAAAGTGTGAGTAACTGTGAAAAAAATGGATATAATCTATTCACTTTGATTTTAATTGATTTTTACCAATTTTAGCTAAAGCAATTTGGTGCAGGCAATGGTGCTTGGGCAGGTAATAAAAAATATATATTCTATATGAATTTTATTTATTTTATTATTTATGATGGTTTGATTTTAATATTTATTCCAAATTAAATAATCTTTGATTTAAAAAAGTAATAACTGGAGCATCAGATGGTATCGGTAAAGAATTTGCTTATCAATTGGCAGCGGCGAGATTTAACATTCTTTTGATATCTCGCACTGAATCAAAATTACAGAATTTAAGCAAGGAGATTGGTGCGTATCAATGATATATGTGTGCAAAATAAGTTAGCATGCTAAATTTTTTTTCGTGATAAAAGACTTTTGATTTTTCCTTCTCCCTTTGTATTGCAAAGCGCATGTATCTGTTGTATATATATATATATATATTTTTAAAAAAATTAAATTAAACAAATTAAATTCTTTTTTTCTTAAAAAATTATAGAAAGTAAATACCAAGTCGAAAGCAAAACATATGCAATGGATTTTGCCAAAGGAGATAAAAAAGATTATGAAAACCTCAAGGAAATTATCGAAAAGTTAAATGTTGGAGTATTAATAAATAATGTGGCAACAAATCATGAAATCCCAACACCATTTATATTGGAAACTGATGAAATTATTAATAACATTGCTGAAGTCAATATTGCGGGATTCTTAAGAATAACTAAAATTGTTTTACCCAGAATGATATCAAGTAATAGAGGACTTATAATTAATGTTGGATCGTTTTCTGGAATGGTCCCTACTCCTTATTTATCAGTTTATTCTGCTTCTAAATCATTTATGAGCACTTTTTCAGCAGCATTGGGCGCTGAATTAAAATCTAAAGGAATTGTTGTTGAAAATGTTAATCTGTACTTTGTGGTAAGTAAATTATGCATCTTTTCTTTTATTTTTATTTTTTTTTAAAAAAAAAAAAATTAATTAATTAATGATTTTATATCAGATATCTAACATGTCAAAGATTAGAAAATCATCATGGTTAGTTCCACAACCAAAGCCATGTGTTAAATCCATATTGTCCAAAATTGGAGTGTCAGGAGGAGCATCAAACGTTCCATATAGTTCCTGCGTATATCCATCACATGCTTTAGTTAATTGGGTGATCACAAACACATTTAATCAGAGTTTCTGGGTAGATCGTGGATTAGCTCAAAACAAAAATATCAGAGAAAGAGCATTAAGAAAACGAGAAAGAGAAGCTGCCGCTTCTAAGGTTCAATAGAAATTTCTGTAGTTTGGTCTAGTAGTACATTTGATTATGTAATTTTAATACCAAGAAGTTTCCTTCATATTATTTATTTTATTAAAAATGTTTCTGATTAAATACGCTTTAATTTTCTAATTATAACTTTGGATGGATTTGAAACCCTGTATATTCATCAATTCTAGATGGATTGTTAGGAATTGTCGGAATGTCCTTTAATTCAACCAAATGCTTATGAACGAACGATTCGATAGGAAAAATCGTCAGTTCTGGTTTTTCCATTATCACCTACGAGAAAATGATCAAATACATATTTAAAAGAAAAAAAACGAAAAATAAATAATAGTAATAATGAAACTGAGTAAAAAATTCTCACCAAATGACCACAATCGGGAATTTCATGCCATTCACCGCGTCGAGTTCGTGATTGTTTAAGTGAAGCCCACTCTCTCGAACTTAAAAAAGAATGATATCACCGTCACGCAATACAGGCTAGAAAAAGGAACCTTTTATTTGTGTACTTACTTCATTTCAGATTTTTCACCGGTCATAAATAATATTGGACATTCAATTTCGTGTAATCGATCGAATGCTTGAAATGCCCCATGAATATCATGCACAAACGTGTACTAATGAAAAAACAAAGGGATTGATTAGAGTTTTGACATGCGTGTCACGTGATCGCATGCTTAATGAACGTACGTGTTCTTGAAATTTTGAACATTTGAGCGTTACTAGTCCATTACTCAAGTCTCGTAATCCATATTCCTTGTAAAACGAAAGAAAGATTAATCGATTGAAGATTGAAAAATATCCTTGAAACCCTAAAATGAACTTACAACGTAAAGATCCAATACTTTAGGGTCCCACCTTTTAAAAAATTTATTTTTAAGAAACGATTCTTTCGCAGCTTCTCTAATATGATTTGTACCAAATCAAAAAGGTAAAGTCAATTAAATTTAAAAGGCATACTTGAAGAAAAAATAAATCGTTACCTATTTTCCCAGGTGTCTTTTCTTTTTAAAGTTGGTGTAGTCATAGCATAATTTAACATAGCTGGAGATATTGCTGGATCAATAGCAACGATACACGAGAAAGTACCAGGCCTAATTAATTCGGCCATAAAACTGTATATAAAATTGGTCGGTTAATTTCCCTTTTCGATTGAAAAAAAAATTAAGAAAATTTTAGGTGTCGTAAGTTTTGTGCTTACGTCGCGGTTCCACCTAATGAATGACCAATGCCTACTATTGGTTCTTCGATTTGAGCGTAATCAATGACTTGAAGGATATCATAACCATAATCCCACCATTTATCTTGTCAAAAAAAGAAAATTATCTTGATTAAAAAACAAAAAAAAAAAAAAAAATGGTTTTTATACATGTATGTTGTTTTTTTTATTTTTTATAAAAAACTTACAAGTATCAGGTAAAATATTTTCATTTAAAACAGCACTTTCACCTTGATTAGAACAATCTAAAGCGAAAATCTTATTAATATTTAAATTTTTATTATTAAACAGTGATCTTATAATGGGCTCCCAAATTTCTTTATGAAATCCATTGGCATGAGCTAAAATCATATTAATTCCTTCATCATTATCGTTATTATTATTAAAACGGTCATTTCTAACATCTTCATAACAATTTACTGATAATCTTAATTGTGCATTGTTCTTTCCGGGAAGTTGACGAGTGCTTGACGCAGGAATTACAAGGTTACTTATCCTTAACATAACTGAAGTTTACGAAGAAGGACGTGTAAAAAAGAAAAAAATAAAATAAATTTATAATCCATGTAAAAACGTTTTAGCGGTTCGGTTTCCTTTTTAGAATAAATGCTTGGTAATTAAATTTCTGCTTGCATCACATTAAACTTTATTTAATTTAAGATTAAGCCCTTTTTTTTATCATGTATTATTTATCATCTCTAATGGTTGATCATCAAATCAAATGCGCTAATTTACTATTAAATGTTTAATTATTGATCTACACAAATTTAATCAACCTACAAAGTTTACCCGCACGTGATTTTCAATGCGAACTATATGGGACCTTTGCAATAGAAAAGGGGAAAACGGCCGGAAAAATAAAAAATGAGTTGATGTTAAATCTGAACATATTTTGACCTAAAAATCATATTTGGCATATAAAAGTAAAATTTATTTTTCCGGCCGTTTCCCCCTTTTCTATTGCAAAGGTCCCATATATATTTTTTTCAAAATAGATATAATATATATTAGGGGATCGGAATCATTAGAGTTAATTATCCCCCTTTTTTTTGCAAAAAAAAAAAAAAAAAAATTTGAGCAAGATAATCGTAGATTCGACAAATGAATATTCGGAATATTCCATGTTCAAACGAAAACCCTAAATTTATTTACTAAAATTATTTATTTAATAGACCTTTAAAATAAAAGGGAGGAAACCGCCGGGAAAAGTAAAAAAAAATAAGTTAGAACATATTTAGACCGTTAAAAGTAAAATTGAAGTGTTTTCCCTTTCTATTTGTAAAGGTCTCATATTATACTATTTTATAAGTTATTGATGTCGATCATTTCACCAGATTTAGTAGATTAAAAAAAAAAATTCGAATGTGCTATTTTAATTCGGTCGGGTAAATGTCAAAAATTGGGATGAAATAAACAATAAAAATTCAGAGTTATGATAGAATAAAAATTATCAATTTCAGTAGGAAATTTCTTATAAGACAAATTTTCAGTATAGAGATCTCAAGAAAAATAAATATTTTTATGCTTAATATATATTTGAATGAAGCGAGTAACTATGATCGATAGATCCCGTATAAAAATATCAATAAAATATGCCATCCCGCGTTATCCTAATAGTCCGTGATATAAACTTTATTAAAAAGGTCACTACTATGTACATGTATAAAGGAGAATTTACGCGTCCTTATTCAATGCATATCAAAAACATTCGAAAATAATTCAATCGAGGTAGCAGGTGTCTTAACTAAGGTTTCTCCATTTTAATAAGATATCGTATAGTTTACCATTTGCCTTTTATCCTTAAATTTATCCAAGAGAGTATTTATTTTTCATGTGACGTTAGACAATGAGCGATAAAATTGCGTCAGATGACGATTTCTTGGATCATATAAACTGAAGGTTCGGTTCAAGTTACAATCACCAAAAAGTTAAATCACAATGTCATTCTCTTGGGATACGCACTCGCTTGCTTCCCTGAGCGGTAAAACTTTTAAATTGTATGTATGTAATTAATGTATTTTTAAAGGCATGGCTAAACTGATTGATTTACATTTTAGTATATAATGTTTAACCAGAAATGGTTTTTAAACGAATGGATCATAATTCGTTCAAAGGACAAAGTTTATCATTATTCTTACTGAATTCATCTTACATTCGTGAATTCGTGAATGAAATTATTTTCATGCATAAGGTCGCTCATTTAATTACTAACACATGATCAACTCCTATATCATATTACCCCTATAAGTTATTACTAATCAACAAAATAATGTAATATTTTGTTTTATCCAATCGGTATTTTAACAAGAGAACCTGATATTTGGAACACAAGCATTACTTTAATGCATTAGATGCGGGCTTATTGATTGATGATAAAAAAAACTTGATTCAAAAGAATAATAAATAGCAAAGAAGGTGAATAATGCAGGATCACGTATACATGAGAGGGTTGTGATCATACGTACGCCTTATTTAGCAAAAACATTTAGCTGCGGGATCAATAAATGATAATAAAAAAAATTGATTCAAGAGAATAAATAAGCTAAAAAGGTGAACAATGATCGGACGTTCGGAATTATCTATAAGTTAATGCATAAAGGAGAAGGGTTGTGATTGGACCGCCTGTTAATGTTGATCGAATGATTCCTTATTAGAAAGTTGGCATTGATTAATTGTAAATCACGGTAAACTCTTGGAACAATCCAGTTACAGTATATGAAATTATATTAATTATTCGGTTTCGTCCCCTTTTTACACAACAGAAATATTTATTATGCTGTGCGGGATTCTTTTGAAATTTGTTTTGCATTGAGGGTAAAGTAATTCTTTACGATATTTTATAATTGTCATTAATCATTTATGAGAATTCATTTCATTCGATAATACAAATAACGTACATTTTGAATGTTAAAAAAAGATTTTTATTTGGATATTGCAGAATTTATATATTAATTGCATATTCCAAAGGTAAATCTTGTAATTAATAAGAATAAAGTTAAAAGGAATTCATAATCATTAAACTTAATTATCTTTGTGGAACAAACATATTATTAATCCATTCATTTCTTTGTCTTTTTTCGGTCATTTAAAAAGAATTTCCGAACATTCCATTTTTGATTTAAAATTTATTTATGAATAAATGCTAACTTGAATTGAAATTTGATTCATCGTATATTATATCATTAATGTAATTGTGTAGCGTCTTATTATTATAGAGGAACCAATGGACAAAAAGTCTTAAAATACGAAGAAATCTCACAAGTAGTATTACCCCTGCATTTATGAAAAAAAAAAAAGGAAGGATTTGATGTTGTGATAAAATAACAAGCTTTTTGATAAAAATTCGCGTGAAAAATAACAGATCATAATATACAGTAACTAATTACGAACAATATCGGGTTTTTTTTTAATCAAAAGAAATAAATTACATCATCATATGCATCATCCAAGAAGATTCTAAACATTGCACGCTCTCTATTTACGGGCCCCCTTTTTAAAAAAAGAAAATAAAATGCATTATTTATATTATATGCATCATCCAAGAAGATCCTAAGCGACTCAGTTTTTTTTTCTATAAAAAAATAGATTATCAAGGTGTCATACGAGTGTGAATTCGTTTCATGGCATTTTTTTTTTTTCATTTGCAGAATTATTTAAAGTAAAATTTCGTCACGTTCACAATTGCTTGAACTGTTTGAATTACACGACATATAAGTGATCCAAAACAATCCAGATATGGGACCTACAAGCTAATAAATAAAATTTCATCATACAATAATGTGATAATGGAATGAAATGATGATAATTATTATTACTTATTATCCAAACCTAAGTCATCTTTATTAAATCACGTTGCAGGTCGCGAAAAAATTTTACGTGTTTGTGTAACATCAGATCTATCTAATCTTTACCATGAAAGGCATAGATTTGTATTAGGTTGTACTCTTGTATTCTATAGCACCGCGGGTCCACTGAATAAGTGGAGAGCTCAATTTTTTTTAAATCTGGACTTTGAGAAATCTTTTGGATAATAATCATTCAAAGTGATTAGAGACACAACTTGAACATTCTTTTTTACGTATAAGTGAATAATATAGGAAATTTATTCATAATCATAAAAAATCATAAATTTGTGAAGATCATCGTCTAAATCTATAAATCTTATACAAAACTTAATTAAAACTTAATGTAGATATTTTTTAGGGAAGCAAATTTCTAAATTTAAAAATGATTGCATAATGGTTTTTTTTTTTTTTTTTTTTTTTTAAGAAAAATTTTTTAACCTCACGATGAACTATGTCGATTTTAAAAGTTTATCATGAAGATTAATTAATATGAATATTTAAGAAAGATATAATAAAGTGGGTTCGAATTCATTTACTTAAGAAATTAAGCAAAAAGAAAATTTCATAAACACAAGAATTTAAGAGCAAAAAAAAAAATAATAATATAGAAAAAAATGACATTATTAACCGATTAAAAAAATATGAATATGTCTTTAAAAATCAATCATCCGTTAAATTCAATATATGACAATGTTCCTCGTAACATTATAACATTCCTTTTGAAGTTTGTACTTTTTAATTAAAGTTCAAAATCCAACCTGGTTCATTCATTCCCTCCTCATAAAGCATTTGATATTCGGAATGAGCCTCTTGTGACGATGGTAACATTGTTTGCATTGAGAAAGAAGAAACTTCTAAATCAAAAATCCCAAAATCCTCATTTAATATCTCCAGAGGAATTTCTTCCTCAATTGAAGAAGGTATGGGAGATTGGTCAAATTCTTCAAGGGTGATCATTGAATTCAATTGATCATTTGCCTGGAATTCCTCTTCGGATGTCTCTGGAATAAAATTTTGAAAATTTTGAAGAGTTTGAAAAGGGTACGTTTGATAAACTTCAGGAAAGTTTATATTCCCCTGTTCAAATATCAAATTTGTTTGTTGTTGATAAGTTGGGATCTCGTGCCTCGGAGAAATTGATGGATTTACCCGCCTCGGGGTGCTTGCAGCAACTAATCGACGATTGCGAGACTTCATAGCTTCCTGCGAACGTTTCTTATGAGTTGTTTGAATCTCCTTTGCAAACCTTTTGTACGCAGTTTTAACATCAGCCTTTTCATTCTTCCATGATATAGATGCCCATTTAGAAACGTCGGTCATCTTATTTTGAAAATCCTTTCCGGTAAGAATCTTCGCGAACACCGTACGATAAATAATGAAAGCATTCGAGGTCTTTTTTCCACCGGGTTTCTTTGGCATGAATTCTTCAATATTTAGAAGGATTGGGGGAGGTACTTCAACATAAGGTTCAGGTGGGAACGTTTGTTTTGGTGAAAAGACCTGTTTATTTCTTTGCGTGGATGAAGCCGTCGCCGTTTCATCAATAATGGTCACGGTCATGCTTTGATCATCTTTTCCAATAACGTTATCGTTATGGTCTGCGGTAAATCTAGTCATTTTCAAGTTTTTTTTTTTTTTTATTATTATTTTTAATGATATTATGAGAAAATGTGATTAAGCCTTTTTTTTTTTTTTTTTTTTTTTTTTTTTGTAAGGAATTCGTCAAGACCTTGTATATTTATATTGTATCAGTTCAGACAATTTAAAAACCTTTTTTTAATATTGTAAATATAATTACAATTAAAACTAGCTATAAAAATGAATGACCGGTCATGAAATCCGAATTGATGCATCATTTTTTTTTTTTTCTTTTTTTATATTAATTATTATTAAATATTAAGAACATAATTTCTTAATCATCACTAAGGGTATATCACTTATAATAATGAATACAATTAATTAGCTATAAAAGGGAATTGTTTCACACTTTAGGTGCAAACTATCCAAATTAGTAAAACCTTTAAAGTCGATTATATATTACTTTCGGTAAACCAAAAAAATAAAAAACCCAATAAAAAATTGATCTAGTTTGTTAAAATTAGAAGAACCGTGGCCTTTGCATTTTGGGGAATTAAATTAGTAGTCCTTCTCATAAAGGAATCCCGAGCTGCAAACAATGGAAAAGATGCTAGACCAAATAAGTGATTGAATATTTCGTCATATCACTTCATACCGTTTCACCTAAAATTTCCTCGTTTTTCAATTGTTTCATTTAACATCAGTTAATATTATGGGCTTTCCTCTTTTCCTCTGACTTATTTTTCTTGCGGGAAGTCTCACTCCCAAAATAAAACATTCATTTATGATAACCTTTTTAGGTTGATACTGTCAATATTAAGTATAATCTTTATGAAATGTTTATTATAATATATAAAATATTTTTTTTTTGTTATTATTATTTTGATACCAGGTAGCATTGTGCTTAGTTTTTGACTATCGGTATGCAAACACCGGTCAGAGTTATAAATAATTATTGTCGGGGACCGTACACGGCGCAATCGTATATGTCCTAACTAGTTTAGTTCAATTTCCCGCCTAAATCACATGACATAATTACCGATTTCGGAAAGCTCGATCTAATTTCGACGCGTTCGGTTCATTTTCAATTTTTGTTCAAAGGATTCAGATAATAGTCATCGGATCAAAAAGGCTGGTTTTTTTCAAAAATAAAATAATATAACATTAAATTAAATAAAATAAAATAAGTCTCCCCTTGATGCTGCTGCGCCACATTACCTTAGGTAATGAGCCCATGTGTCGTTGTCGAGTTGCCATTTCGAGTTATCTCTGTACTAATTCTTTCATATCACCTACATGAACGATTTATTCATGAAACAGTAAAAATCGGTAATTTCATCATTTTCCACTTTCAGCGCAATTCCGGATTTTTTTTTAAACGCGCAAATCAGATGTTTATCTGGTTTCTATAACATATCCTGAAATCGTTTGACCCTGCATCGATAAGAAAAAAAAAAAATAAATAAATTACTTGAACCATCATCTCACTTTATTCATTCATTAATGATATTCATCCTGTGAAAAATAAAAACATCAAAAGACCAAAAAATTATCGCCATTCTATCCCAAAAAAAAAAGGCGGTGATTTATAAATGATTGTAACGCGTACCTACATAATGCATTTCTCCTTTCTTTTTTCCAAGATCAGTTGTAGATACTTGTTTCGCGTTTGGGTGAAATACGAGAAAGTCAGGTGCGTTGTGCCAATCCTTCAATCGATTGGCGTCAAGATAAAAATCAATTCAAGACAATTGTAGAATAGAACGATTCATCTATTGACCTGATTAAGTACGCGATAAACGCCAATCTTTTAAAACTATGTTCGCATGTAGAATAAAATAACAAGTAACGCGACTTTTTTGTTTTGCATACGTATGTAAAAATGATTTGATACGTTTCAAGTTTCAATCAAATGACGAGTTCTCGTTTAGATTATCTCTTCACTTTATTTCATTTTTTTACACAAGAACGAATAAGAACTGAAACTGCCAATTTCAGTAAATCTTTAAATATGCAAACACGTAAATTAGTCAGCTTAAAGTGCTTATTATATATACAGGAGTTGAATGTCCGGTTTAAATATAGATTGCATTTTTATAAAACGGGAATGATCATGTACGCGCGCAAAAATAGTTATCGTAATATCCTAATTGAAAATGTTTATTTACTGTAATGTCATGATCAATTTAACCAAAATCGTTTTGTCGGCTTTTTTTAGCTGTTCACTATTTTTTTTATTATTTTTTCAAAATAGAATGATAAAAATGGTTAATTAATCGAGTAACAATTAACCAATCAATTGCAATTCAATTAACTTGTTCAACAACCATATGTTAACTCATTCAAATCTTATCACGTATTTATATTCTATTGTTAATTTTGTTGGATTAGAAAGAATGAAGTGATAGCATCAAGTTAAATTATACAAAAATGCCCCTTACATCATTTGATAAATCTATCATACAAGGAATTCGTCTTAATGAGTTTTTTTATGCATGCCCTGAGATTATCAAAAAAAAAATTGTATTGAATTTCAATTTTGAATGAACTAAATTGTTTAGCTCCCTTTTTTTTTTTTTCTTTTTTTTAAAGGAAAGAATAAAACTTATTCTACAATCGGCACTTTTTTGATTGGTTCTTTTCTTAATTTGCTTCACAAATATTCATAATAATGAATTATTCAAGTCAAAAAGGAAAATTTTCTTCTTATTACATGAAAATAAAAATATTTGTATTATCATTGTCAGGCCAATTAACTCTCAAGAATATTTTCCACCATGTATTCGTTATTGGTCTCGAATTTTTGTGATACTGTTGCACGTGACAACTTATCGGGACAATTTCGAGATCGAAGGATTGGATTATCGAACCTGTATTTACTTTCAAGTCGCATACATCATGTTTCATTAAAAAAGAAAAGAAGGAAACAAATAAATTTAATATCTTTGACAAGTCTCTTCGACAAATCTAATTTTCCCGAAGAATTACATGACAATTAATAGAGAAAGAACGTCAGATTTAAAAAGAAGTGCAAATCCAATTTTCACAGCATATATTGTTTAAAGTCAATAAAATTTTAATGAATTCAATCTTGTTTGCCGTTTATATTTTTTTTTTTTTTCTCTTCTTTTTTAAAAAATTTCCTATTTTCTTTAAAAAAAAATACCATTCCATCTTACAAATTTATTTGTTCGTATTAGTTAAGTTAGGTTCAAAACCAAATAAAATCGTCGAATCAAATTATTGAAATGTATAGGATTATGATTTCCGAATAATAATCATCCTTTAACCTAAGATTTATCTTGGAAGCCTAATTAATTAATAAATCTATTACTTGTTTTAAGAGAAATCCTGCACGAAAAGCCCTTATATAAAACGCTCTAAAACTTTCCCGATAAAGGCTTGGCTTAGACATTCGATGCTAAAAAAGTACATTTCTTAAAAAGGTTCACAGCCACAAAATTTCTATTTAAAAAAATCTTGCAGATCTTTTTTTATATACGCGTCTCAATCAAAAAAAAAAAAAAAAAAGGTTATTTGAATTAGTACTCTGAGATATTTTTAAGCATAAAAGTTCTCCACCTAGGCTCTATATGGAAGGAAAAGGTATATTTCTCCCGTTTAGTAATTTTTTTTTTTTTTTTTTTTTTTTTTTTAAAAAAAAATTAAATACTTTAGCAGCTTTTCTTTTATAATTCGTGTAACTTTACACGCCAATTTTTTTTTGTTTCTCGGTCAGGAAAAATTCTTGGAAGACGAATTTTATAAACGCGATAACAAAAACGAGATAACGATTAACAAAAAAAAGAAAAATACATAAAAGAACTGTTTTCTTTGAAAAAGCAAAGGCAAAAAGCACAAAGAAAAAAAAATATAAAATATAAACAATTCAATTTCTTTAGCGATGAGTTCACAGACAAATTTTCGAATGATGATGATGATAATCAATCAGTCCAGAAATCTCTATACCTGATCCACATACCCCAAACCAAATAGTCGTAAGCCTTGTAATGGTTTCATGATTTATCGTAAGGTGTATCAAAAACTGTTAAACGCAAACTCTCGCAGGTTTAAAATGACATTAATCTCTCATTGGGCTTCAGCTTTATGGTTAAAAGAAAACAAGAGACTTAAAGATGCCTATCAACAATTTGTAAGATTTAATTTAGAAAATCATCAAGCAAGATTAGAAAATTCGAGAGATCGCCTTATTACAGCAAGATTATTAGTCGCCCCTTATATTGTTAATTCTCCGTTTCTTCCTCATCGACTTCTTCAACTTCCGATTCCGTTACGCCACATTATCATTACGTTAATCAGCCCTCTCCCGCCCCAAACTTACATGTGGTTCATCAACAATACCTGTAAATTCGTCTTTATTGACGCCAATGGATAATTATGTCAACAACAATATCGAAACTGCTGGAAACGATTATAATCTATGGCGAAACACCTTCTCAAACTTTATTTTATTCGACAGAACAACCTTTCGTTAACGGTGAATTTGATCAAATTTTATTCTTTTAATGATTCCAATAAGAAAAATTTAAGCCATCTCCTATGTTAATTACCATACTTGTAACTAACTTGAATAATAGAAAGCATGTAAGAACTTTTGTTTTTTTGAACAAGTTTAAATAGTAAATTGGTATCAATTTCGGCAGCCGGTGGCTGAACTAAACGCCACAGCTAGTGATGTGGCTTGTTACTCAGAACAAAGAACGATTAGGCAATCATTGTTTACTTTCTTAAAACGGCACCATAATGCAATATGACGCATGTAAGGGACTGCATGGCGTTTGATATCTTGTAACAAGAGAGCCCAAATAACAAAGACCTAGGGCCAAAAAAAAAAATTCAAGATTTTTTTTTTGGCTTTCTTACACAAAAGAAGTAACAATGTCAGATAATTCAAGTTTCAAACAAAAATGCATGCGCTTAATACAACATTTTAACGCACCGAAATATTGATTATTGATTTTTATTTTTTTTCTTCCAAATATTATTCAAATGTTAGTTATTTTTAATAACTCAGTTTATTCGAATTGAAAATCCATGTTATGCCACGAGAGTTTTTTTTTTTTTTTTTGTAATTAATTTTCAAGGCATGCATCATGTCCGTGCGAAAGTATTGTCCACTACCGTTTAAAACGAGGATCACATGATCCATGTTGACAGTCTTTCGACTGATTGCTATAAATAATTTGTAGCATTATAGGGTGCCTATTATATTTTCTTTGTAACGAGCACTTGTGACAATCAACCTGAAATGACTTATTATATTTGCGATCAAGTGAAGAAATTAAAACTCTTACAAATAAATGCCCATTGTACGGTATTTCAAAAAAAAAAAAAAAAAAAAAAAAAAATTTTAAAAGAAAAAATATATATATTTCGTCATTCAGGTTTCATAAAATGTAAGCAACAAAGAAACCTAAATCCTTAACTTGGATCGACCAAAGGGAATCGTCCAACCAAAAATTATTTTCATCCGCTGCGACCGACCACTTACAGTATCGTAGATATTATATTATCTTATTACAATATCTATATTTATCAATCACTCTTGATTACGCCGAACTTGAAAAATCACAAAGAGGAATGCATTAATTCTCATGAGTAAAAGAGGAAATATGTGGGGTAAAAGAAATATATAAATAACGTTCCTCGAGAATCCAGTCTTTTATTTTTTTTTTTCTCTTTTGTTCATTACAATAGAATTTATCTTAAAAATATATACATACATCGGTTTATAAGTAAAGTCTGCACCTTTTAACGGTGTTACCCTTCAAAACACTACAATTAATCCTAAAACCGTACAAATGTTTAAAAGGTTCTTATATTTTAGACAATCAGTTTACTTTAAATTAACTGACTTAGATCTCGAAGAAGAATTTATTATTATATGGTGTGCAAGCGAACGCACGGCCGTATCCATACGAGAAAAAAGGCCGAATTTGAGAAGAAGGATTATTAAAAAAATTTCTAAAAAGAGAAAAAGTTTACTTAAAGTAAGTTTTAAAGTCTTTTTTTGTGTGTTACCTTTATTCACTTTTTTTTTTTTTGTTTTCTTAATTTTTTTTTTAAAAAAAAAAATTTTAGAAAATTCGAAAATTCTTTATCAACAAGAATGGAGTTCATACCGATGACATGGATTTCTGTTGTCGGGGATGATATCTTCTTTTTAAACCGATTCGAAGCAAATTGGCAAATTCAAAAATCTTTAATCAATTGGCAATAATATAATTTCTCCTTTTTTCACTTTTAAATTTATAACAAGTTATGCATTAATCATTTTCTTCACAATTAATTAAGCTTTTTATTTCAAACATCACAATTCATTTTATATGCATTAATTATATATAACATTACTCATCCTCCATTTTTTTTAAGATTTGTAATTTTATGAACGTATCTATTTAATTTTTATTTTATTTTATTTATTTTTGTAAATAATCCTAGACTTGTCATTTCTTTTTTTTTTGGGGGGGAATACTTGTAATTATTGAATTAGAAATTAAAAAAAAAAATTATGTCATGTGTAAATAATTTTTAACGCAATGATTATTTTTACTAAACGATATTTGATTCTTTTTCAATAAATTCAAATAAATTTATATTACACTAATAATTATTAACGGTAAACTTTGAGGCGCTACAATGGAAATTATCCACTCAATCTTGCGGAAAAAAGATCAACCGGGAATTAATTGTCCCATAAAAAAAGGAATGACAAAAGTAAAAATCATCATTCTTTTCTTAATTTAAGTTTATTAAACATACATGGAAATGATGACGGTCAATACATTTCATCTACTAATAATCGGAAATTATATATCATTCTAATGTAATTATTTCAAATTGCAAAAAAAGAAGAAATGAATTAATACTCTTTTGCAATAAATCAAAAAGGTAGAAAAAATTAATAATTAAGAATATCATAAAGCAGAAGGCACGTTTTCGTAATTAGTTGAAATTATTTGTATTCTTTTAAAATAGTATGGGTCGTCGAGATATTTCCGGTGAAACCTTATTCCAACGTGGACCTTAACATCATGAACTTTAAAACCTACGATTATTTACTCACGTCATATTCGAAAATCTCATTTCCATGAAAACTTTAACCGATTCGCTAAAATTCAACCGATTCCGAAGAAGGTTCACATCTTATTACACAACGTGACATTTAACTATATATGACAACTTATTGATTTTCTTGAAATAATCGCATGCACCAAAAGCATTTTCTTTGATATTCAGATCTTAGGATTTCTTATTCTAAATCATGCACTTTTGTCTTATAGTAAATCTGTAAGACATTGATCGTTAACGATATGCAATAATTTTTTTTGACCTTAATTAGGACTCATTCCGACTCTATGATGATGAAACGTGAATTGTAAATCGAATGAATTTATTAGGAACTAGTTCATGTGTTTTACGAGATGTGTAACGTCTAATATTTCTCGAGGTGAGCCGCATTGACCTTTTATTATTTGAATAATTAAAGTAGATTAGTAAGAGATCTAAAGTCGACTTCTTTCTATTCATGGATCTGTGAAGAACGAAATGTTTTAGGGCAATAAAGAAAATTTCTTATAATTGATTAATTTCTCTTTTCATTTAAGATATTCACGTCAAGTTGTCAAAAGTTTAATCCAACGAAGATCAAAACGAACTTGTGTCCTTGTATTTTTAAAGTAACTTTTAAATGACATACTCAATTTTAAATTTTAAATTTTAAATTTGGTAATCGAATACTTTGGAAACATGAATTATTGATCTTCTACGTTCAACACAGTCTCCTTTTTTTTTTTAATTAAAAAAAAAATCTTATGTTTGCGTTTTTGTAAGGAATGAGCCAAAGTCGGTGCATCATCCTTGATAATTAATTTAACCAAAAATTGCCACCTTAGACGAAGGCGTTTTGCCAACAAGAAAGGAATTCCCGAATTTTTCTCACGAATACGCCAGATATGGATCACAGTTGACCAACTTTAAAGGTTGATAACAGTACAAAAAAAAAAAAAAAAAAATTAATGACGATGATAATTTAACAGAAGGTTTTGGACGATTAATCAGTTTTTGAAACTTTCCCTTACAATATTTCCTAATATAAATTCGTTTTTAGATAGTTTATCAAGTAAATCTCGAAAACTGACGTCTTATACGCCTCAGCCGCACATGTTTATTTCTGACTGAAATTAAATTTAAAATTTCCGATCAATTTTGTCGGATCGTTTGGTTTTCGGTTTATCCAAATTCGACTTTGATACTATACCTCGTTAAAGCTTAACTGATTATCAAGTTTTATGTGAGGATTTTTTTTCCCACATGATGGATCATGAGACCAATTTCATATATATACTTGGTACTTTTTGCCACCATTTGAAAATAACCGAAAAAAATAAAAACAATAAAAAGTTTTACGTCGTTAGAGGTTTATTTTATTTCATTTCACCCTCAGCTGGTGTCATTAATAAAATCTCATTCAAAAATTTAAATTTTTTTTAAAAAAAAAAAACACAGTTTTACCTCAATATCTTCTCTTTTCACTACTATTATCATTATTATCTTTTTTTTTTTTTTTTTACCAATAATCATGTCTGGTAATAATTCTACGGGAGGATCTGGGGTCGCTCATGAATGGATTTTTATCGATGAGTCGGAAATCGCCACATCACCAGCACAAACCCTTCGTTCTCCCGTTCCTAATCCAAATTTGCCAGTTGACGTACCATTTCCACCTAATATAAACCCAGCGGATCTTATTAGAAGGAATAGGAATGGGGACCTTCTTTCTAGGGCCACAAATAAATTTTTAATTTATCGAAATGAATATGCAAAAGAATTACAAAATCAAGGATTTAGGCTTTCCATGAGGGAGGTATCTAGAATGGCCGCTAAAGCCTGGAAGCGAGAACCACAACACGTTAAGCGCAAGTATGAAGACATCGCAAGAGAGGTGGAAAGGATACATGTTCAGTTATCCATGTCGTCTTCATCAGGATGGGAAAGGCGAAGACCTTGTTACAATCGAACGTCAAGCGAACAAGAATTTTTCCCAATCCATAATCAGATGGAAGATAACTGCGTTATGATGACGGTACCTCAGTCAATACCGCAATACTCTCCGTATATACCTTTCGCGTCAACGATTCCTTACACACCAACCGTTAGAACGGTTCCATCTCATAGGTACTCTCCAATACCTTCTCCTGTGGATTCAAGGCAACTTTACCTTGTTAATAACTGCGGAACTTCTCCATTCGATTATTTCCAATACGACCTTTATAACGAACCACTTTCACTTCCAATTGAAACCACCCCATCCTTGTCACCAAATTTTGAGATCCCATTCGGATTTTCATCCGATGCGGATTCTTTAAATGATTCATTAGGAAGCTCTCCCGAAGCTTTTGATTTTTCGTGATTTCAAAAATTATTTAATTTTAAATGTGAATATACCAACTTTGTCTTGTGGTTTTAAAGACTTTCGAGATTGTTAAAATCTTTAATTTTTAATATTTTTTTTTATTTATTTTTATCTTTATTTTTTTTTTTATTTTTGCTACTTGAGACCACACATAGACATAATACATATTTCTGGTATATTACGACGTAAATAGCACTTCTATATAATCCCACCTCCATTTACTTTAATTTAATAAAACCATTGACAATAATAATAATCTTAATCTTAGTAATAATAATAATAGTAATAATAATAATAATTGTTGGGTCATTTTTTTCGAACCTTTTTTCTTTCAGGTTCCGATCATGTAATTTAGTTTAATTTATTTTATTTTTTTTAAATTCTTCTCGTCTGTTTTTTAAAGCAGAAAAAATCATTACGAAGTTATGGGATGTAAAAAGATTATGAGTAATGTCAATACTTTCTAAGATTGTTTCTATGCCTTTTAATGCATCAATACAAAAAAAAGACATTTGTAAGTTTTTTTTTAATTTTTTTTAAAAAAATTTTAGTATATCATTTAATTTCTTTCATTTTCAAATAGAATTTTGTTTACTTAGAAAATTTTTGTAATTTAAATATTTGATTAATAGATATATCAAAGAATTTTTCTTTATAATAAATAATTTAAATAATTTAAAAGTTTAATTAATTTACAACCTTTTTTAAAATGCATAAAATAATATCGTACCGAAGCAATCATTATTGAGAAAAAAAAAAATTTTTTTTTGTTTATTTGGATTTACATTGGACAATAACCATTATAATTGCTAATTGAAGTAAGTAATACGGAAAATAAAAAAAAAAAAAAGAATTTTTTTTTTTTTTTTTCTTATCGCTACCCCTTAAGATAAAAATATATTTCACGTTGTGAATTTATTAAAGATTTGCCGATCGCAACCCCACTATTTCTTAAGGGGGGAAAAAAGAGATTATGTACTGTATGTATGTATTAGTCATTAAAGTTTTTTAAATATATGTATTTAAAGGATGTCTAAAGAACGAGTCGGATGCTTTTACTTCTAATTGCGGATGCATGCCTTAGTTTCAGCAAAATTTCTTGGTTAAATTATTTAAACATATTTGGTTAAACTTGATAAAGTCTCGGCTGCGTAACTAACCTTTCGTGTTTATGCACTATTCATAGTCATTTGCATCTCCATGAGATGACCTTTCTAAAATTCCGTGGACTTTGATTTATTGAAACGTTGATAGTATTTGGTATGAAATAAATCTGTTCGATGTGAACTTGGCACCTACGGTACCGTGGTACAGCACCATTCTGTAACAGCAAGAAAAAATTTTCATAATTGATTATTCGATTAACTTCCTGAATGACAAGATTGTTCCTTATTCTGAATCTGTTGAACTTGCAGGACCCCTTGGTAATTCAGAGCCATAAAGAAAGTTTGATCTTTAATTTAATACCATTGTTTTTTGTTGGGGGGTGAAACGATTTTGATCGGCGGGTAATTTTTACCATACATTAATATAATAATTGCCTATTTCCTTGGCATTACTATCTACTATCAGTATCTACTATCAGTATCACCATACCTTTTCGTAAATACATACTATTATGGTTAACCTATCTTCTATTTAGCGAAATGGCGAGATAATGTGAAATTCACCTTTTAGTACTGTATATACACCTCCCTATCCAAAAGGTCTTCGGCAACTTACGAGAATATATTAATAAATCATATGAATTTTCGAAAATTTACTCTATAGTAAAGGTTTTTTTTTTTACCAAAATTTTACTTTTATTTGAATAAATGATTGAAATATATATTATTGAAAATAAATATAATATGTAATATTAATAAATTTTATTTATGTATTTCATTTCAACAATGTACTAAAAAATGTGATTGAAAATTTTATTTTTATTAATTAAAAAAAATATAGTTTAAAAGCTATAAAATAATATAAACTATTATAGCCTTTACATTTTAAAAAAAATGTATTTTTTTTTTGAAAATTCATATGATTTATTAATACATTTCCGTAACTCCGAAGACTTTTGGTAGGGGTACATATATATTAAAATATCCTTCATAACCTTATTGAGACTAACACCATAACAATTTTTTTTTTTTTTTTTTAAAACAGGGAAATTTAAGATAAGATAATGTTTGACTTTTTTGATTGTACGACTGGATATTGTAAAAAAATTTTCCTTATTTAATTATATTTTATTAAAAAAAATTTGTTCATCATTTCTTTGAAAATTAAGCTTATATAGAATAATCAAAGGAGATTTTAATAAATCCGCATGTTAACTTATTATCCATGCATTTCTTTTAAATAAGAAATAACGACACCAAATCCATATTATCCTTATATAATATTAACGTTAATAAAGAAAGTTAGAATACTGAAAAATCTTCAAACATCATTTTATGTTTAAATATTTGTCATTATTATTATTATTTTATTTTAACGCGTTTTCGCGGTTAAGGATCACTTTATGAAATCTATAAAAAATTTTTACAATTAATTATATTGGTTTTTAAAATATTAATGCTTAAAGTGATAGATGAAAAATTAAAAATAAAACATGATTCAGAGATAATTGAGTACGTCTTGCTGAAATCTATAATTACTTGCGTCTGAAAACAATGTTTCGCTAGGAATAGATTTATATTTATATATAAAGTTGAGATAAAATATAAAAATCGTTTTTGTTTACATCCCACCACTTTAAAGATTACCAGTTACATATTTAACCGGTAATTTCCGGTTTTATTAACCCAATTTCGAATCTGAAAAACCAGACCCGGTTTTATGTGCAACAGGTTTAAACCGAATTATACTAAACTGGTTCCAACCTCTAACTTATACAATATTAATAAATTATATTAAAATCTTATTAAAAAAACTATTTTATTTTATAAGAAGTTGAAGTTAAAATAATCAAAATTATTGTATATCATATAATTTTTTATATAATTAATAATATATAATATTACAATTAATTTTACTTAATTCTATATCAATATAATTAATATTATTTAACTATTGAAAAACATATAAATTTTATTAATTAAATTTTTTATTACTAATAATTATAATTTTATAATTAATTATTTAAAAAAATTATAATATTATTATTATTTTATAATAAATTATGATATTATTATTATTTTATAAAGATATTAAGTTTACTTATAAACCAAAGTTAATTAAATATTTTTAAAAAAATTTTATTAAAAAATAATTTTTTTATAATAGAATTTATAAAATTTTATTATTTATAATATATTTATAAAAGCATTTTTTTAAAAAAAATATAATTAATTTAAAACAAATTAAATATATATATATATTTAATTATTAATTATTAAAAAAATATTATTATAAATATATTAATCTAATTTACTTTTAATTTCTTTCACCAATTCTTTTAAAAAATTTCTTAATTTACATATTTTTTAAGAATTCTATTTAAAGATTTAACTTGTTAAATTGATTTCACTCCTGCTATAAAACCTTCACAATAAAATATCTTATTTATGATTTACGATTAGAATAGAATTTTTCAAAATAAAGTTAGCATAGTTTATATTTTATAAGCATTTCATTATATTTTATTTCAAACTAATGCTAATTATAACTGTTTTATATATAATAAAGTTCTTAATAAAATTTTTAACCTTTTTATTATGTAAATTAGACTTAGATTTTTTTTATATCATCAATAATATGATATATATACAATAAATAAAAGTTTTTAAATAAACAACTTGAACAACTATTATTATTTCTAAATTACTATTAATAAATAAGATGGTAAACAAAAGATTATTAGTTGCTTTTTTGAACTTAAAGATAATTCTTATTATTTACTCATCAAATCATACTCAACACTTAATCAAATTATTAATACTATTAAAGCAAATGAACTTGAAGATTAAATTAGAAGATGTATAACGTTTATGATAAATAAGATTATAGATAAATAACATTTAGTATTTGTTAGCATAGTATAAGCAGTCATTAAAGTTTTTAATAAAATAAAGTATGAAATAATCTCAATACATGAAATTAGATAATATAATAAAAGTTTTGTAGATTTCTTATTATATTAATTTAATAAATACTTTATCAGTTCAATAGATTACTGTAAATTTAATTAAATTAATAATTCGATTTTTATATAAAAAAGAAATAAAAATAATGAATTTTATGATATTTATGATAGTTAATGCTTATTTATTTACAAAGCTTATCAAAATTTAGCAGTTAGCATAAAATTATTATAGTCTAATTATATATACAAAAAATTAAATAAATGTTGCTGAAATAATTAAATTTTGAAAAATATAGTAATAATAGATAAAATCTATTCTAATTGCATTAACAAGTTTTAGAGAAGTTACTTTATATGTTTATAGGTATTATTTAATACTAAATTATTGCTTAATAATAATATATCTATTATTTAATACTATATATTATATTAACTAATATGAAATAAAATTATATTTGTATAAATATATATATTTTTTCATATTATTTGATGATAAATATAATTTAACATGTATACTATATAGTTTAATGTTATTTATTGATTAAACAAATGTAAAGTATTATTTTACTAAAATTAGTATAAAAATATATTAGTTTTTCTTGATATTTTTTAATAGTATACACATTTTCTATACAAAGTATAATTTAAAAATATATTGCTTAATATCATTAATCAGCATATATAAATATAAAATATTATTTTACACTGTATAACTATTAATTTAATTTTTATTTAATTTATATTAGTTACTAACCTGTTGCTTTGTAACAAAAATAAATCATGTGATATTATATAAATATCCAAAAAGTAAACTTATATAACTGATTTTGAGACTCAATCTCAAATTTTGCTAAGAGACAAAATTTTTCTTTTGAAAATTTATGTAATATTATACAATTAATCATTATTATTTACATAAGATAAA